TCTAATCAAATAAGTTATAAGCTAGTTTATAGTGTTTACCAAACACACTCTCAGTAATGAATAATAAAATAAAATTATCTTATCACATATAATTTAATAAGACATGTTGAAACTTTAGATTTAGTGTTTAAAATGCAATATTGCAAGGTGAATAATAATGGAGTATTGGGAACATACCATTAGTTTTGTACAAATACATACAAAATATGATAAATTTTTCTTTATGTTTCGAAGAAATTCTAGCAAGTTACTGGAATCGTACGTGTTCGCTGGTCGTGCCAGATGAGTTGGATCTGAGTATTCGTGTCATGAACAACTATCTATCGTAGGTTGATGATGTGATTTTTGTAGAGTCGAACACGCCAAGAGGCTATCGAAGAGGATTGGGTTCGTGAGCTGGAGTATTATGGATAATCAAAACGACATCGTGATTACTGATGCTAGTTGTCTGTAGTCGATTGATGATGTGGTTTTGAGAGAGTCGGGCATCCAATAAAAGAGCGATGAAGTTTTTGGCTCCCGTTGTTCTCTTGTCCTCTCAACCTGTGTAGCGGCTCGCCATTTGCAACTGGTCCGCTCTGTGGATGTCAAGAGCGGCGAGGATGGGTGTCTTGCTCTGATAATCGTATTGTGGTGGTCTGAGTCGAGGTTGGCTTCTCCCTTCCTTTTTCTTGTGTTTCTTAGTGTTGGGTTGATGGGTCTCGCTGGTTGGTATAGGTCTTGGCTCCGGTCTTTTGTCGGCCTGTAGCTGTCTATTGGTGTGGGGGGTGGAGATCAGGGCTGCATTTCGATTTCTAGTCCAGATGTCTTCTGCCTGGGAGAGGAGTTGGGTTCGTCGATTTTGGTTCTAGTTAGGTTTAGTAATACTGCAGTTTCTGGATTTGCCACTTGGGTTGGGTCTCTGTCCGTGGAGGTGGTTAGTCTTGGGGGTCGTTGTCGTGGTTGTATTGAGAGTGGTTTGCCGCAATGGGGAGGGCATTATTCTATTCTTTAGCTTGTTTAGTTCTTGTTTGTATTTGTTTGTGTTTGTGTTGATTTTTCTCTTCCCATTCGGGAAGTAGTTTCTCTTTATTCTCCATTATCCGAGTCATAATTCTCCACGTGTGAGAGTTTAGATTACTACTATTGTAGTTTGTGGGTATGTTTATTGTAGTTGATTCTAGGTTACATGTGTTTTCGTCGTGTAAGCCTCTCTTGAATTCAGTCGGCTAGTATCCGCTTGTAAGTATGTATTTTATCAATGATATCTATCGCTTGTAAGTATTGTAAGTAAGTATTTGTAAGTATGTAGTTATCGTTTCGAGAGATAGAGACCAAAAAAAA